AGAAAAAAAAAAAAAAATAAAATAAACAATTTTTAAAATATATACACTTCAATAAAAACTAAATAAGAAATTAGTTTTTATTTCATTAAAGGCATATAAAAACAAAATTAATATTTAAAGTTTATTTTACTAAAATAAAAATCAAAAAAAAAAAAAAAAAAAAAAAAAAAAACCACTAAAATTCAATTTATTTTTTTTTAACCTTTATCCTACTAGTTTTATAAGTTTTTTCTTCATATTAACCCTTTCATATATTATATATATATATATATATACATTTATATAAATAAATATAAATAAATATATATATATTACTAAAAAATTAAAATATGTTTTGTTTTATTAATTTCATTTTAAAAATATAGATCTCTAATGAATTTAGCAACTAGTATATAATAAAAATTAAGAAAATCATTATAAATATATTTGAGCATATATTAAAAAATATACTAAAAAAATAATAAATTGCATGATTTTATAACAAATAAAAATTAATATTAGACGACAAAAAATATATACTTATTTAAATGTGAATTGATTAAAAATATTGTAACAAAAAAATTAAAGAAACAAAGTAAAAAAACATATGCCGTAGAGAAATTTTTTATTTGTGAGACTTAACTATATTTATATTTACATTTTTTTTTAATGTTCCTAGTTATTTTTTTATAGATGTTGAAGAGCTATCATATTTTTTATTTATGATAAAACAAAAGCATTTGTATTAGCTGTATTTTTTTATTTTTTATGTTGTATACATTACAAATATATTTCTTTTTATTACGTTAAATGAATATAATAAAATAAAAAATATTGAATATTAAATAATATCAAAGAAAATCACATAAAATCAATAAAAAAAAAAAAAATCAAATCAAATCAAATCAAACCAAATTTAATAAAATCAAATAAAATCGAATATGAATTCAATCAAAATCAAAAAATTATAAACATATAATATAAAGAAGTATAATATATAACAAAAATGAAATGAAGCATAGTAAAAAATAAAATATATATAAAAATATGATTAAATTAATTATAAATTTAAAGTTGTTTTAATATTTTAACATTAATATATATCAACTGAAACTTAAAAAAAAAAAAAAAAAAAAAAATAATAATAGCTTTTCTATAAATGTGTGCAATGTAAGTTTAATAAGAAAAAAAAATATATATTATTTACACTATGCATGTAATTATAAATTTATAATAATCATATGAATAAGTCAGAAAAAAATATTTTATTAAATGATCTACACATGTTTAATATTTAATTAAATTAATAATTTTTATAACTTAATATGTTAATACTTTTAAACTATAAAGGTTTTATTTAAAAAAAAAATTTTTTCTTATGTAACAATACAACTTATGAAACTAGATGTATTTGATATCTAAATATAATATAGAATAATAACATAAAAAATGAATAAAAAAAAAAAAAAAAAAAAAAGTATGTTATTTTTTAAATTATTAAAAAAAATTAAGATAAAACTACTTTTCATTTTATAAAATGATAATTAAAAAGAAAAAGGGAAATTTTGCTTTTTCTTTATTTTAATTATTTTTTTTTTTTTTTAGTTATGACAAAATAATGAGATATTAGTGAAATGTATTTTTTTTTTTTTTTTATTTGATATAAATTAATTATTAATGAAATGCTTGAAAATCCAGTACTCTGTACCAAGCGAATGTTTAATAAAAATTTTTTTTTATGCTGCTTTTTAAAAAGAAATAATAAATTAAAATTTTCTTTTTATTCTACACAGAAAACATTAATTTATAAATATATTTCTGAAAATGATTTCTTACAAAAAAAAAATAATTCTATTTATTCCCTTGTTAATTATAACTATGTTAATAATAGAATTCATGAAATAAATTGTTATTTGAAAAATAATGAAAATATTGATAAAATAATTGAAAATTTATATATTTTATGTGTAAAAGGAAATATAGGCACATGTGATGAAAGGATAAAACACTATGTAAATTTTATATTAAGTTATATATATGAATATATAAATGAATCAAAAGATAGTTTAATTAATGCCGATAAATGTAATATCCAAAAAAAATGTTTCATGAATATTAATAGTTATTTGTCATTCCTAAATATTTTAAAAGTGCTAAATATAAAAGCTAAGTTTAATCATCTATTGAAATATGTAAGTGAAAATATTCACTTTTTTTCAATTGACGTTGTTAGAAAAATTGCATTTAATCATGACTTAAATAAAAATCATGATTTTTTTTTTAAAGAAGTCTTAAATTATATTTACACATTAATACAATACAACAATGAATTATATTTCAAAGAAATAAAAAATGTAAATATATGTATTAATGTTTGCACCAATTTTTTTTTTGGTAAAAAGTATATTGAGGAAAAAAATATGTACGATTATGAAATTAACGAAGACTTAATTTATTTATATAACATGAATTATATTTACATAAATCATATTGTTACATTTTATAATTTTATATGCAATAAAAATACATTTTATGATTACAGAAAATGTGATAAAAATGAAGAGAATATATCAGAAAAGAAGGAAAAAGAAAAATCACTAAAATATGGAAATCTGGAAAAATCATATATTTATTCTAATACTCAAAAAAGTTCTAATGAAAGTTCTGATTTAATTCAAAGTGTTGATACAAAAGAAACTGTTTATTCGTACAATGAAACTAAATTAAATAAAAAGATAAATGAAAAATATGATATTGAAAATAACAATGATCACGTAAATTTAAGAGATAAAAAAACAAAAGATAAATTTATTAGTCTAATTTCAAGTAGTGATGAAAATATAAAGGAATATAATATAATTAACAGTTTAGAAAACTTAGAAAGTTATATAATGAACATAAATGATTTTTATTTTAATTATTATATGGTAGATACAATTTACACTCTTTATAATTATTACATGAATTTATCAAAAAAAAAGAAGGTAAATAAAGAACTTTTATTTTTTTTTATACCTGATATAAAAAATCATATTAAGCATATTATTTTAAATTTTATCCTTATTATAAATAATAATTCAAATAAAAGTAAAATATTAGGAAATAAACGAATTATTGCTTCTTTAGAAAGAATATTAAAATTAGGTTATGTATTTGAAGTACCTTTTAAATTAGATCCATTTGTAATGCACTATTGTAATATATTATTAGTAAACAAATTAGATTTATCATTATTAGATAATATCAAAATACTAAGTATTTTTAAAGAAATAAAAAAAATAAACGAAAAAAAAAACTTAGGAGATACACAAAAACAACAAATTCAAAATAGAAATATTAGCTATAATCTAACAAATAAAGTAGAAAATGATATAATAGAAAAAAAAGAAGACTTAGAATCTTCTCTCTTTGATTTAAATTTAAAATTGAATTTTAATAATGATGTTGATTATCATTATTATAGCTTATATAATTATTTTGATAACATGATAAAATTGGTTTTCTGTAATTTAAAAAAGAGTTTACATAACTCAAAAAGTGTGGATATATGTATGTTAATTCCTTTAGTTTACGAATTTCATAAATATATGGATGATGAATTAAAAAATATATTAACTGTTCAGATAACATCTAATAAAGACGATATAAATGAAAACAACATTATAAATATATTACGAGTATTTACTAAAATGAAATATAAAAATGAACTACTTGAAAAATTTATATATAAAAACGTGAAATTTTTTTCAAATGAAAAACATGAATGGGTAAGGAAGAAAATAGATACTTTTTTTTCTTCTCCAAAATTGTTTTTTTTGTTTTTTTATTATAAAAGTAAAAATAATTTATTTACTTTTAAAGATATATATTACGTAGAAAATTATATAGAAAATCACTTTTTTGAAATGAATATAAAAGATTTTATTAGTATTTTGTTAATTTATTACAAAAATAAAACATTTTTATTACCAGAATTGTTAATTAAAATAGGTGTTATTTTTAATAATGCAAAAAAAACCGTGAGTAAAAACGAATTATTGTTTTGCTTATTTTTACTTTCAAAAAATTATTATTATTTGTCAAAAGAAAATTATGAAATAGAAAAAGACATAAATTTGTACCAAAAAATTAATATATTTAGAAAAAGTCAATATAATCAACTACATATTAATGAATATGTAAATATAATTAATGATATTTTACTTTACATATATGAAGAAAAAAAAATAAATTATCAACCGAAGCAAATAAGATACTTTGAAGAAAAAATAGACAAAAATTTATCAGAAAAAGAAAAAGAAAAAGAAATAGAAATAGAAATAGAAAAAGAAATAGAAAAAGAAATAGAGAAAGAAAAAGAAAATAATAAAGAACAAGAAGTTCATGAAGGAGCAAATATAATCGATGATAGTAGTTCATTAAATGCATCAATTCACAATTCTAAAATAAATTTTAATGAATTGAAAACAAATTTGATAATGATGAAAATATTATATAATTTATATTATTCTTTTTTTTCAGCTCAGAAAAAAAAAAAAATTCTAAATAATCATCATGAGAAATTATTGTCTCACTTATTTTCATGCTTTAATGAGAATTATTCAAAAAATATAAAAGAAATTAAATACGTTTCACCTTTATTATTTTATTTTAGCTATTTTAATATATCATCTTCTTTTTATTTTGAAAAGCAAATATTATATATATTAACAAATTATCCACTTAATGATAAAAAAATTAAATATATATTGCTAAGTCATGTATTTATTAAGAAAAAAATTCCAGATCAAGTAAAAAAATACATAAAAGAATACGTAACAAAAAACTTTGAATGTTTTAATATAAATCTTCAAGTTTTATGTTTTAAATTTTGTAACAATTTTCTAAATATAAGAAACTTAGAAGATACAAATCAAATAAATGATATTTCTTTGTTTAATCATTTACTGGAATATTTGCTATTAAATTTAGAAAAGATGAAACCACAACATTACTTAATTTTATATTTTACGATTTGCAATAATTTTGTTAAAAAGAAAAAGTATTATATTCAACTTTTTTATTATATGAATAAATTTGCAACTTATTATAATAATGAACATTTATTTCTAATACTCTTTTATATGTACAAAACAGGGTATAGTAAACCAAAAATTAGAAAAAAAATAAGAAATTTAATTTTATTTCGCCACAAAAAAAGATTAATTAATTTAAGTACATTTATAAAATATATATTACCACTTGATGAATTTGGTATATATCATCTCCTCCCAATCAAATTTCAGAATATTATATATAATCAAGTATATTAATAAAAAAAAAAAAAAAAAAAGAAAAAAAATACATTAAAAATATATAAATATTTTTACATTCTAACAATTTCTTAAATGTTCTTTTCATTATAGTTAACAGAAGAAGTAAAATCTTGTATTAGGAAACCTTTAGAAGATGATGTGGTAGAATATATATTAAAAATTATTCTTAAAAATAAATTACATTTATATAAAAGAATAAAGAATTAATTATAATAACAATAAAATAAATATATGAAATCATATATTATTTTATATTGACTCTTTTAACTTTTTTTTTTCTAATTGCAGATGAAAGAAATAAAAAATTCAGAAATAAAAAATGAAAAAAAAGTAATTTTTTTTTTTAAACATATATATATATATATATATATGCTTTTGTTTATTTATAATATAAATTTCCTCTTTGCAAAATAAATCACATAAAGTTTTTTATATGTTTAAATAATTCTATTAAATTTAATTAAAAGTTGTTATATATGTTTATTATAATATAAATATACACTATTTTATTTTAATATAATAATTACCATTATAATATGAATGTTTATTTGCATTCAAAATATATATATGAATAATTATGTAACTTCAAAAAAATTTATTTTATCTTAATTTTTTTTTAATTTTTTAAATTATTAGGACAATAAAATAGAAATAAATGAAAAACAAGAAAAGGATGCACCTATATATATTTTTGAACAAATGGTTAAAAATTATTAAACAAATTATTTTTATTTTATTTTTTTTTTTTTTTTATAGTTTTGATATTTTTATGTATTAAATGAATAAAATTGTAGAGTATATTTATTGTATCTTTCGTTAATTTTTTATATATATTTATATTAAAGCCTTTTTTTTTTTATTTTAATTTTTTTTTTTTTGATTATGTCATAATTATAATAGTTTGCTTAACAACATTGAAATTTTTCTTTCTCCTTTTTTTGAATAATAATGCAAATTTTCAACCAGGAAACTTTTTAAAAAATATTTTTTAAAAATATAAAAATTTATAGAGAAACTATTATTTTGATATATTAATAAATATGTTTTAAAAAGATATTTTGAATATATATAAGTATTAACAGTTTTAAGTTTTTTTTTAAATTTTTTTAAAAACAGGATATATTTCATAATTTTAAAAAAATCATATAAATATATTTATATTTTCTTATTTAAATATTAAAAGGAAAAAAAAAAAAAAAATAACACATAAAATTTACAATGAATGAAGATATAGATGAAGATGTTGTATATGAAGATATAAAGAGTAATAATGATATAATAGATTTAAGTTCTGATAATGAATTAAGTAGTTATTCATATGAAAATGATGAAAACGATGAGTTAGCTGAATATAAGAAAAAAGAAATATCATTTTATGTAAAATTTTATACAAATAAAAGCATTTACTGCATTAATTCATTTAAAAAATGGATATATTTTGGTAGTATAAATAATAAATGTTACATATATAATAATTTTGATAACGATTTAAAATATTTTGTTAATACAATTAATTCAGAAAAAACCAATGAATATAACTTTGAAAAAAAAGATAATTTGAAAATAAATCTGAAGAATTTGAAATATCAGAGATACAGTGATACAGTAACAAACATAAAATTTTCAAAAAATAATAAATATGTTGCAATAAGCATATATAATGGTGACATATATATATATGAAAATAATGACTATAACAGATCAGAGGTTTTATTTTACAATATAAATAATATAAAACAAAATATAAATAATAGTAATAATTTATTAAATATATATAATTGGAATATTGAAGATAAAGAAAAAAAAGAATACATAAATGAAGAAATGAAATTTATTAATATTTTAAGTATTAATGATTCAATTAATAAAAAAGACTTAGAATATTTTATGTTTTGTCCATTTAATGAAAATATTATTTTAAGTATTTATTTGAATTCAACAAATATATATATATGGGATATATTAGAAAGTAATCCTATAAATATTGTTCATACTAATAACATTCCTACCTTTTTAAATATATGCAATTATGAAAATAGTTTTTATCTAATAGCTGGATTTGATAATGGTGAAAGTTTTGTTTATGATTATGACATATATAATATAAAAAGGAGAAATTCAAATAAAAATTTTGAAAAAAAAAAAAAAATGGAATATACAGAAGTAAATAATTCTAATAAAATTATATTATCTAATAACACATTAACAAATAATCAGTTGGATAATGTCAATGATGTATTATGTATTGACAATCATATAATAAATGAAATATATATATCAACTTATAAAAATACTATTAAAATGTACAACATAAATAATAATAACATTATTAATACATATAATAACTTGCATAATGATATAATAGATTATTGTCTATTTAATAATAAAAAAAATAATTTATTTGCATCTTCATCTTTAGATAATAAAATAAATATTTATGATTTTCAACATAATAAATATATTAATCAATTTGATGTTAATTATCATTTTAATGAATTAGACAAAAATAATAAAATAGAAAAAGGTATAAATTTTTTGAAATGGATAAATACAAATTTATTGTTATTTTCTAGTTTAAATGGGAATATATATATTTATGATATAAGATTAAGAAAATGCATTCATCAGTTTTATTGTCATACTGATACTATATTTAATGTAAATTTATCACTTCATTTATATGAGAATAAGAATATATTATCAGTATTAACGGCAAGCGATGATAATTCTTCTAATATACATTTTTTTGATATTTCATCCTTTATTTGATATTTTAATGTTTCGCATAAATATACATATGTTTTATAAAATTTTAACATTTATGGAAATTTATATATTATATATTTTAAAACTATTTTAATTTTTTTTTTTTTTTTTTTTTTATAATATACAAAAATTATTATAATATTCATCCCTTTTTCTTATGTAATATTCCATATAATTATTCTTACATTTATAAAAATAGATATTTTAAGTATTTTTTTTTTTTTTTTTTTTATTTCCTTATAAAACTTAAATTTACCCTTTTTTATTTTTAAATTTTCAATAAAATATATATATATTTATTTAATTATTGTTGAAAATAAACATAAGATGATTGAGGAATATGCTTAAAATAATTCACTTTTAATATATACATAAAAATACTATATGCAGAGATTAGACCTAATTTTTTATTGCTTTCGTTTTTTAAATTAACATAGTAAATATTATCAAAAATTTCACTTTCATGTGAATTATTACTAATATTAATGTAATTTTTATGAATTAATTTATATTTTTTCTCTATATTGTTACAATTATCCATTATAAGAAAGACACCCTTTGATTTCTTTAACAAATTTAAAAATTCGTCATCTTTATGAGAATCTTTTTTATAATTTATATATAAATCACTATTACTATTATACTTTAATAATAGTATTTTATTTTCTTTTGTATATTTATATATTTCATTTAAATCTGTGTTTTTATAAGGTATATCTAATAGATAACCAGATGATGCTCGTATAGTAAATGGATGAAAAAAGTCAATATCATAAACTTGATTGATATCTATATTTTTGTAACTACTATTTTTTTTTTTTCCTTTTTTACTTAAATCGTCAATATTAAATATACACTGCCATTTTAACAAAAAACAGGTTCTTATTAGAGTTCCTATATCTCCATTACATAAGTATTCTAAATCTTCTTCTTTTTTATATATCATCTCTTCAATGTTATTACTTATAATATTATTTGTGTTTCTTTTTGTATCTTCATCTTTACAAAATACATTATTTTTAGTAAAAGTTTCATCATTTGTTACTTGATGTTCATTTTTTATATTACTCGTATCTTTTTTATTTTTAATATAGTGATAATTAATTCTTAAATTCTCATCTATAATCTCTTGTTTAATTTCTTTTTCTTTTTTCTTTTTACCTTCATAATTAACATTATAGAAACAGAATGCTAAAAAGGGTAGACCAACATTATCAAAATGAAATTTATGATATATTTCAGCTAAAACTCCATTTTTAAAAGAATACAAAAAAGATAACTTTTTTAGCAGTTTATTTGATAATAATATAAAATTATCAAAAGAATGAAAATCTTGTAAATTGTTGATGCTATTTGTATAAATTCTAGTAATGTGATTCTTTTCTCTCTCTAATATGATCTTTTTATTGGTTAATAAAATTTTTTCTTGCTTTTCTCTATAACTCATATTGGTAGCTAATTTATATAAATGGATAAAAATAGGATGATTTTGTGATTTAATTATTTTTACTTTTTTCGATGAAAAAAATATTTTATAAAAATGATCATTTTTTTTTTTTTCATTTAATATTAATTTATTACTTTTATAGTTTACTAAAATATTATTTATGTTTTTATCTATAGTACAATTAACTTCATTTTCTTCTTTCAATTTGGGTAATTTTTCTCTTTTTGAATTCTTTTTATCTAATTCATTGATAACTATATTATCTTGTTTTGAACAAGTTAGTTCATTATTTTTTTTAATTTTATTAGATACATTATTAGAAATTAATTTTTTCTTTCTAAAAGTTATTTCATTTTCAGTTAATATATAATTCTCATTTTTACTTATTTTAGTGTTATCTGTATTGTAATAATCTATTTCAGTATTACTTATATCGTATTCATTGTTTTCTTTTAAATTTACTTGATTTTTATTTAAGGAATTATTTCCTTCAACAATTTTTTTTATTATACCATCTTTTTTTTCTTCATTTAATTTATATTCATCTACAATTTTATTAAATATGACATTAGTTAATTTATGATTATCTTTTCTATCATTTAAGAAATCCTCTTTAATGTAATTAATATTTTTTTCAAATGAAAAATCCTCTTGTTTGCTTTTATTATTTTCAGTTTTATTTTCCTTTTTTTCATTATTTTTAAAAGAAGAAAAAAAAAAAGTGTATTTATTATGTCTCCAACACAATAATCTATAAATTCCAATGGTATGATATTGTACATTTAATTTACAAAACATCATTAAGTTATAATTTTTTGTTTCGATGATTTTAAATAAAGTTTTATTTTAATGTATCCATTATTATATTTAAATCTTTGCCATTATAAATTTTTTAATATTTTATTTTTTTGGTTGATATATGTTTTTATATTGTTTAAAAATAAAAGTATAAAATATATATATTTCAATTTCTATTTTCTTTTTTTTTTTTTTTTTAAATCATAAAATAAGGAACAAAATCATTACATTTTACTAATAATTAAAAAGCTTTTTTATTTTAATATGTTTATTTTTTTTTTATATCTTTGTAATATTTTTAATTTAAAAGATAAGAGCAATGAATATTTTTTATTTGTGATTATCTATAAATATACCTATATGTAATTTATGTGAGTGTAAAAGATTTATTTTTTATTTAGAACTTCTCTATATAAATAATTAAATTTATAAATCTTATGAGTTAATAGATTTCCTATAATGCTTATATGTTAATACATATATATATATATATTTTCCAATATTTTTCATTTAATAAAGAAATAAAAAATTTTACATTTACAAAGTACCTTTAAAATAATGATTTATATTAATTCATTTATTTATATTTTTATTATATTATTGATATGTTTGTGAAGAATAATACAATGTTTGATATTTTTTCTTTTTTTTTTTTTAAAAAAGAAAATAAGAACAAAAAAAAAAAAAAAAGGCAAAAAAGTATACAATAAAAAGGTTGTATATAATAACAAACAATTTTTTACGGTGTTTATAAAAGATCAAATTAAAAAAAAAAAGAAAAAAAAAAAAATTGAGACGGACAAAAAATAAATATAAGATTAATTAATTAATTAAAAAAAAAGCAAAAAAAATTAATGTAATGGGCAAAAACAAAACTTTTGTATATTATTGGATGCAATAATTATATTATTAACTGAATCTTTTTTGTTTAATTCTTCTAACTGTTTTATGTCTCCACTTTCACTTTTAACGTTTGATTTTTTCTGAAAAATAATTACATTTGAGTTTTTATTCTTTGACATTTTACAATATGAAAATGTTTTACCGAGTTTACAATAATTACATTTTACCAGAATTAACATAATTATAATAATTATAATGTAAATTAAAGAAATTAAAAAAAAAGAATAAGCTAATTCAAAAGTACTATTACCAATTACTCCTAAAGAAATTAGTTGAAAAGATTTTTTAGCATTCCACTCTTTGGATGGCCAAGTATTTTGAGTGAATGCTATTTTATAATTGTGTCCAGCTTTTAAATCTTGATTAATAACTCCATATGGTTTTATGAATGAAGATGTCATTGGAGAACGTGTCCAGTTTTTGTACTCTGGAGAAAATCCATTTATCCATATATTATAATTAGAAAAATCCTTATGCTTTTTAATATATACAAGAAAATCAAAATGATTAAGAATAGAGAATTTATCAATATGAAAACTCTCTGATTTAAAAGATAAATCAATTTTGTCATTGAAAATAGAAGCTGCTACTAACCCACATGGAAATATTCTTTTGTTTTTCTCTTCAATACTTATCGAGGAAATGTCACATTTTTTATTTTCCTTTTTACCAGATTTATCCACATAACTATTTATTTCTGGAAGCGTTTGAATATTATTTACACATCTGTAATTATATAAGTCTTCAAGAGTTTTTATATATTTACATCTACTCTCTTTAAGAAGGGAATGTGATTCATCTGATAAAAATGTTTTATAATTAACATAAAAATTAGATATTTTATAATATATATAAACTGGCTTTTTCATATCTTTTTTTATTCTAAAAAGTTTAAATTCATCGTCTAATTCATAATCAATATTTACTTCAGTAACGTTACTAGATTCATAATAAATATAAAAACCAATTAATAAAAATACAAATGACAATATTAATAAAATAATTAACGCAATTTTCCATTTATACACATAATGAAATTTATTAAATTTTTTAAGGTGTTGTTGTTTTAACAAATCCATAAATTCGTTATACTTTGACTCATTAAAAATATAATTTTTTTTTCTTAATAATGTATCACTTCTTTTTTGTTCAGGTACATTTATATTTATATGATCTGTCTTATTTAATTTTTCATCCATTTCGTCTTTTATTATCATAACATTTGATATTTCTCCTTCAAATGATATAATTTTCTTCTTTTTATTTTTTTCTTTATTGTTCTCAGTTGTACATTCTTCATTCATAACTTTTCCATGAATTGGTACACCTATGTGATTTCTTCTTTTAAAAGATTTAAATATTTCTTCACATGCATCATAATTAACTGATATTAAGGAAAAGTCTTTTTCATGTAAAGAATCTTCTGTCATTTTATTAAAAAAGGTAAAAAGTCAAGAATTCATATGTATTAAATTCATAACAAATTCGTTAAAAAAAATAAATAAAATAAAAATAACAAATACTAATAATAATTATAATATACTATTAATAAATAATATAATGATATTGAAAATAATAATAAATGTATAGGTATATAAGAAAAAAAAAAAAAAAAAAAAAAAAAATTNACAAAACAGTTAATGATTTAGTCAAAATTATGTACAAATAAAAGCAATTAATTCATATAAAAATAGTAGTTTCATATATTTAAAATATATATACATATGTAAAGAAATAAAAATAAAATTACATAAATTTATAGGTTTAAAAATTTTAAATCATTATAAAATAAATGCTTTAAGGAAAAATGGATAATTATTTTAAGTGGCTATATATATGAAATAATAAAAATATTTGTATTAAATAATAATTAACACAGTATAATTTTTAACATGTGTCTAATATAAAATATGAATATATAAAAGTTTAAGGAGATGAAGATATATTTAGATAAGGGTGGATATAAATGTTTTATTATTTAAACTATAAAAATAAAAATATGTATGATAAAATTTTTTTTTATTATATTTTTCTTCATAATCTTTAATATTAAAAGAACTTAAATCTTTATTTATGAATTAGTAAATTTTAAAAAAAAAAAATAAATAAATATGAAATTAAAAAGAAAAACTAAAATTTTAAACTATTTTCTAAATAAAGAAAAAAAAAAAAAAAAAAAACATATAAATATAGACAAAAGATGAATTTTAGAAAAAATGTATTTAATAAAATTCAAAATTTAGTTCTAATTTTATATAAAAAAAAAATTAAAATAAAAATTATAATTTTTTACAAAATTTTTGCATTAAATAAATTGTATAAACATGAAAAATATAATTTTTTTTTTTTTTTTTTTTTTATAATGTGTGTATTAATATGTTAAAATTATTTTTTAAATAAATATATAGAAGTATTCTTAAGTTACTGTAATTTTGAATTTAGTAGAAAATAATTTAATTATAAATTAAATAGAAAAATTATGTTTTGTTTTTTATTTAAAATTTGACATCTTTTTGCTTAATATTCTTTATGCTAGATTTTTTTTTTTTTTTTTTTTATAAGTTTATCAAAAAATTGTAACATTTATGAATTTGTTTTAATTTTTTTATTGAAGATTATTTTTTTTAAATATAATAATTATTAATTATTTCTTTCCCCATTGGCTAATACTTCTAATTTTTTTATATTTAATAAAAATATATTCCTTCCTTTTTAAATTTATCTTTTATTTTTTCTTAAAAAAAAATTTATAATATTTTTTTTAAATATACATCTTATTATAAAATTAATTCTCACAACATTTAAAGCTTTTATAGTAGTGTATTTTATAATAAAATTGAAATTATTTATTATTTTCTTTTTTTTTTAAAAATATAGCAATTTTATTTAAATTTAATTTTTCCCTTGATTTGAAATTTTTAATAAAATTAAATTCATGAAATTGGAATTTTATTTTTTTATAAAACTTTTTTTAAAGAAAAATAATACTGAAAATAGCCATAATCAAGTTTAAGAAATTTTTCTATATACTTTTAAAAAAAAAATTGAAAAGGTAAATTGTTATTAAAAATTAAGCATTTTTTTTCAATATAAAAAAAAAAAAAAAATTGGTCCCTTTAAATAAAGTGGAAAATTCTTAATTTTGAAAAATAACGCAAAATGTAAGCATAAAAATTTCAAAAATAATAATATATTAATTATTCACTTTCCTATTTTTCTTATAAAGTGGTATCATATATGGAATTTCTTCATTGAGGTATGATTTTTTTGGTTCTTTATAATACATATTATAATCATTTAAAAAATTATTTTTAAAAAATGTACTTTTATTAATTTTTTTTTTTTTGGAAAAAATAGTACTATTTAAATTAACACAATTTTTTTTTTCGTTTGTCTTTTCTCCTAAAAAATATAGTTGTAAACCAGAAAGTAATAAAAAACATGAATTATATACACTATATTTAATACTCAAATTTTCTAAATCTTTAGGTAGATCTTTTCTTTTATCCTTTTCATTATTGTTTTCCTTATTTTCCTTCTCAGTATTCATATTAAATAAATAAGTATAATAAGGAATATTAATGTAGAAAAATCTAAATTGCAAAGAATAAAAAAATTCATTTTTCTTTTATATCATTACTATTATTAATTTATTATTTTTTTTTTTTTTTTACTAAAAATAAGAAAATGTGAGTATTTTCTTAATTTTCTAAAAAAAAAAAAAAAAATAATCTTACAATATGTTTTATTAAAACAAAAAAACATATATAATTTTATACTTTAATACATTTTTATGTCTTCTTATACCTTGACTAAAAAGTAATTAAGTAAAAAGGAAAAAAAGTAGAAAGTATTATAATAGAGAATAAAAATATAAAATATATAAAAAAATTAGAATAATAAAAAAAAAAAAAAAAAATTAATAAAAAGTAAATAGATTATATATATATAGTAGAAAAAATTAAAATATATGTAACAAAAAAGTAAAAATAAATTAAGAAACTTTTCTATATTTTTTTAAGGTGCAAATAAATAAAACCCTTGAATGGGATGCATTTAAAAAATCATTAATAATAGCTTATATTTTTTTTTTAAAAATGTCTCAAAATATTTCTTGATAATTTTTTTTTTATTAAAGCTTTATTATAATAATTATTGCTACATTTTTTTTTCATTCCCTTTTTTACAATTTTTTTTTAATACTTTAAGAAATACTATTTGAAGAATAAAAAAAAAAATAAATTATAATAAAAAACAATACAAAAAAAAAAAATAAAAAAAAAATAAAATTAAATAAAATAAAAATAAATAAAATAAAATACAACATAATATAATAAAATATAGTAGAAGGAAATAAAAAAAAATAAAAACAAAAGAAAAAAAGAACATTGTTTTTATAATATATGAAAATGACAATTTTACATGAAGAAATAAATTTTTTAAAAAAGGATGAGTTAAACATAAATTTAAAATGTTTAGATAAAAAAGAAAGATATAAGATATGGAGGAGAATACCTAAATGCGAACTACACTGTCATTTAGATTTATGTTTTTCATTAGAATTTTTTTTGAAATGCGTTCGTAAATATAATTTGCAGCCAGATTTAACAGATGATGAAGTTGTTGATTATTATTTATTTAAAGATAAAGGAAAATCATTGAATGAATTTATTGAAAGATCAAGAAGAGTTACTGATATTTTTATTAATTATGATATCATAAAAGACATTGCAAAGAATGCTGTATTTAATAAATATAAAGAAGGTGTAATTTTAATTGAATTTCGTTATTCTCCATCTTATATAGCATATAAATATAATTTATGTATTGATTTGATTCATAAGACCATAGTTGAAGGAATAAATGAAGCTGTAGAAAAATTAAATCATAAAATTCATGTTGGATTGATATGCATTGGAGAAACAGGAATTTCTGAAGAAAGTTTAAGAAAAGCTGCTGAATTTTGTGTAAAAAATAAAAAAGATTTTGTCGGATTTGACCATGCAGGACATGAACGAGATTTAAAACCATATAAAGAAATTTATGACTATGTAAGGGAAAACGGTATACCCTTAACTATTCATGCAGGAGAGGATCTAACTTTACCAAATTTAAATACAATTTATTCAGCAATTGAAGTGTTAAAAGCAAAAAGAATTGGACATGGAATAAGAGTTATTGAATCAGAAGACTTAATAAATTTAATAAAAAAAAATGATATCTTATTAGAAATTTGCCCAATATCTAACTTATTATTAAATAATGTAAAATCAATGGACACACATCCAATAAAAAAACTTTATGATTCTGGAATAAAAGTGTCAGTAAATACAGATGACCCAGGAATGTTTTTAACAGAAATTAATGATGAATATGAAGAACTTTATTTGAACTTGAATTTTAATTTAGAAGATTTTATGAAAATGAACTTATGGGCCTTAGAAAAATCTTTTGTCAAATCTGAGATTAAAGACAAATTAAAGAAATTGTATTTTTAGAAAAAATACTTATTTATATGTATATTCATATATTTAAATAAATATAGTTAAAATTTTTTAATATATTAAAATAATTATATTTTAATTAAAAATATAAAAAAAATAAATCTTTTAAATATATATATATATATATATATATATAATAAACGTAGATAATTTTCCATGGTTGGAATATAAGAATTTTTTTATAATTCATATGAAAAATAAATATTTATATTATAAATTTTTTTTTTTTTTATATTGAATTTCATATTTATAAGCACTTTAAAAATGAGATATAAATGTTTGCATTTCACATATTAATTCAAAATAAAATTTATATATATTTAGAAATGAAATCTTTATTTTATTATTTTTTTTTATAAATTATAACAAGGTTAAAATAAATTATAAGCTTCAGTTTAAAAAAAACACAAAGTAAAATTTAACTTTTGTATTTTTATTTTTTTTTTTATATAAAACCAAAATAAATAAAAGTAGCTATTAAAAAAAATTAAGCATATAAATAAATTATAATAAAAAATAAGTTAAAACAAATAAAAAAAAAAGAATATAGAAAATTTAAAAAAGTAATTTTTTTTTTTTTTTTTTTTTCCATAGATGTGTTATTTCACATTAAACTTGCAAGTGTAATTTTTTATATATACACTTATTATTTATTAAAAAAAATTGCAATTTTGCAATAATTTATTTTTATAAATATTTTATATTCATATTCAATTTTCTTTTTTTTCCTTTATTCATCTTAGCACATATTATGGCTCTTTATGATCTCCATATTCTTTTCAAATATGTTATACATTTCTTTCTATTTATTTTAAAAATGCATTATTAGTTTCAATATCTTCAAAAAATATGTCTTTCTTCCTTATCTGTTTTTTTGATGCATATGATTTAGCACAACTTTTTTCTTTAGGCATATATCTTAACTTACTTTTTTTTTTCAATAAATTATAAGAGTTTTTATTCATTAACTGCTTTTTCAATTTGTAGGAACTTTTTCTTATTCTGCTAATATCTCTGCAACTTTTGTGGCATTTAAGGCAGCTATATTTATGTTTTTTGGTTTTCTTTTTAGAAAAAAAGTGAAACTGTAACCTTTTTGGGAACATATATTTAAAAACACCAAATAACAATAAAATTATTAAAAAAGGAATAACTGTTAATGATATAATGAACCAATAATTTTTATTAGGTTTTACATAAGAAAATACATTATAACTTTTAGTTAATAATATATCTTCAGGATATATTTTTTTGCTAAATAAAATTTGAGAATTCCATTCATTATAGTAATGAATTCTATGTTCAAATAAAGAAAACATTTTATTAGCTGAATAGAATTTTGTTCTATTTTCTAATGGTATAGATGTAAAATTATGGAATGCTATCTGAACTAATTTTTTACCTGGTTGAATTAATTTTTCTATTGATTCAATCTCTCTTTTGTTTATTCTAGAACCAAAATAATTTGTTCTTCTTCTTGTATTACTTTGAACATCATTAAATGATTCTCCTAACACTTCAATTAATTTTTCACTAATCAATTTAATATTATCATATTGAAATCCTTCTAATGATCTAGAATTTACAGGATTTTTTAAAAGATCAATAATTTTTTTTTTCAATAAAGAGTATTTATTTTCTGGTAATATATTTACCATAATAATAAAAATAACGGTTTGATCTTCCATTAATTCTATTTGATTTTTTTTAAATTCTTCTATTTTTTTTCTTTCTTCAATATGATCTTCTAAAGAGTAACTTGTTAAATTATTGAATGTTTCGGAAGTTTCACCACTAATAATAGCTGCAGAATCATCAATAATAGAGTTATCTTGATTTAATTCATCATATATAAATATATCATTCCAATTATTTCCTTTCATATAAATGACTTTTTTTAATAAAATTGTTACTTTAGAATAATAATTAGAACCAAAATGTAAAAAGGAATTTAAGAATAATTCGTATTCTATTAAGTTTAAGATTTTCCCATTTTCAAGGGGAGTATTATTTTTAATATTTCCTATTTCAATTTGAATTATTAAATTATTTTTTGTTAATAAGGAAGTACATTTTTTTAAATGAATCCCTGATAAAAATAATCCAAAATCATAAAAACGTAAAATCTTATTACTGTTTTTATCAGAAAATAAATATCCATTAACAGTTAAAGTAAGAGATTTTTCCATTTTTAAATTCATTATACTTTCATCACTTTTGTAAGCATTATTGTAATTTAAATTTTTTAAATAATCTTTTACACTTTTTTTTATTACGTCAAAGAGAGACTGATTAATTACACGTATAAATTTCCCATGATCTCCTGTTTTTAATAAATTTATTAAGCCTGTAGCATTTTTTATAAGTAAAACAATTATTTCACTTTTTACATTTTTTAAGACAGATATTTTCTCTAAACTACTTAAGTAAATTCTGTTTTCTCTTATTAAACCAATATCTTTACTTAAATTAATTAAATGTGAATTATTCTCATCATAACAATGTTCTATTTGAGAAGACATTTTAAATAAATATTTTGAATGAGATGCATAATTCAATGCATATATTACACAGTTGATACATGTTAATTTTAACGATCTTTTTGGGACCATAGCTAAAACAGATAATGTACATTTCTTTGAAGTTAAATCTTCACATTTTTCTTCTTTATACCAGCATTCATTAAAGATTAAATTTAGCCATGTGAAATATTTTTTATTTTCATTTTTTATATCTTTCAAAATATTCTGAAGCTACAAAAGAAAAAAAAAAGATGTCTATATATATATATATATATATATATATATATATATATATATAAGGAAATATAGGATTAAGAATAAAATAATAAATGTATCCTTCTATATCTTTAAAGATAAATTACATAATGTTTAATGCAAATATTGTCTCATATTAATATGATAAAATCCATTTTAATAATGCAAACATCAATATATATAAGAATTTTAAATTAAATTATTTTACCCCCCAAATGGTACATTTTATATCTTGAATGAAATAATCTTTTTCTTCATTTTTAAATTCAGTTTTGGAAATTTCTTCATTAAATATATATATAGTAGCATCAATTACTTTTTCATATTTTAGTTTTTGTGAAAAATTTTCTAAAAAATAAGGAATTTCTAGTTGTACTAATAAAAAAAAAGCTAACAAAGTATTATCATCTAAATTATCCAGTGTATCTTTATTACTAAAAATACAATTAACATAAATCTAAAATTAAAAGTAAAAAATATATATATATTTATATAGGTAATTAACAGTGAAATTGTGAATACAAAAATGAAAACAGTTTATATTATTTCATATTTTACAAATTCTTTATATATTAATTTTTATTTATATATTTTGAGAAAAAAAAAAAAAGTTAATTATTTTTCTCAAATAGTAAAAATATTTATAGACGTTATTAAGAAAAATCAATTTTTGAAAATTTGTTTATTCATTTTTCTTTTTTATATTAAAGCACATTATAAATAAAGAAAAAATTCCTCCCAAAACGGAAGTATATTACGATAGATACATGATATATGCATATCATTTTTTTTTTACTTACTTTATGAAATGACCACAATGCATAATATAAAATTAAAATATTTCTGAAAATAAAAAATATCATCATTTTTTTTTTTTTTTTTATAAGATTCTTATCCATTTAATTATTTATTTACAGGAAATTTTCATGATTTTATTATAATGTTAATTTATATATATTAATAAATGTTTTATTTGTAACCATGCATAAACTTCTGTGAGATATGCAACATTGCATATATATATATATATATATATATATATATATATATATATATATATATATATATATATATATATATACGTATATATATAGAACTTTCAATATTTTTTAATCACTACATAACAATTAAAAAATCATAATGTAAAAACTTTAAATTTCCTATAATTTTTTATTTTTACTTATTTTTTTTTCAATGAAATATATTTAAAAATAACTTTTAATTTCCTTTGCTATTTTATTCTATGTCTTAAATTTTTTTTTTTTTATAATTATGTTGCATGTAGGACAAATCTGTGAAAAATTAATGAAGCTTCTTCATTTAATTTCATGTAATATCAAAATTTTGATCTTTATTCTTTTTCGTTTATTAAGTGAAATTTTATTTGTTTAAAAATTTTTATATGTAAATAATAAATAATTTTAGAATATTTTAAGAAAATATTTAAAAAAAATTGAACTTGTCTTTAATCATAATTTTTTTTTATTTTTTTCATATATACTTGTAAAAATATACATCTCATTTATAATAAAAAAAAAAAAACTATTTTAACGAATTACAAAAAAACTCCTATATTTATTTTATTTTATTTTTTTTTTTTTTTTCATTTACTTTATTTTTCCAAATGATTTATTGTTGTTACAAATGCTTAAATAATAATTTTATAAGAAATAAATAAAAAATAAGTCTTTCTAATTTTATGTAGAGCACAAAAAAAAAAAAAAAAAAAATTAAAAAAAGAGATCATTATACATTGTTTAAAAGTTTACAACAAAAGAAATTTATATAATAATTTTTAATAAGTGTTTTAATAAAAACAAAAAAAAGATAAAAATAAAAAAAAAATAGTAAAATATACATATAAAAAAAATATGTTAAAGAAAAAATACTTTAAAAATATGAAAACAAAATTATGCTACTTAATTGTGAAATTTAATAGAATATTATAAATTTTTTTTTTTTTTTTCAAAACATAAAAAAAAAATATTAATATATTAATAGTTTCTTCTGATAAATAAAAACATAATTTTTAATAATACATCTTTAAATGTTTAAAATTATTTTCCACAGTACTTTATTTTTTTTTTAATCAACGTTAATTTGATTAATAGTTTTTTTTTCTTTTACATCTCCTTTTATTATCTTCTTTTTTCTTTTTTTTTTTAAAGTTATACAAGGTCCATTTATACTAAAGATTATTTCGAATATTTATAAATACACTATGCTTCTCTTTATTTCTTTATTTCTTTTTTTCTTTTTTTTTTAAGTATATCCTTTTAATTTATATTTATGTAATTAACAATATATTATCATTCAGTTTCTAAAAAAAATTTTGAGGTTACAACGAAAGATATATTTTGGGTTCATTTTTTGTTTTTTCAATTTCTTTTTGAATTTTATATAATTTTAGTTCCTTTAATTTATTTTTTATATTGTCAACACTTATATTTGGGAAATGATCTAAATTTTTTCCTAAAGGTTCCTTTTCTCTAAGATATTTAACATATTCTACTTTTTTATTTATATCATTTCCAAATTTTATCCAATCTAACCATACAATACGTCTAATATTCCATCCTAAATCGTATAAAATTCTATGCTGTAATTTTACACTTTCTGTGTATTGATTAGTTGAAGTATAAAAGCAGGTTGGACCATCAATAAACCAACAATTTCTTTTTTCGTTAGTTTCACCAATATCTATAAAATAACATCCCCATAAAAAAGTGTTTCTATGGCTAATACCCAATTTAGCTAGACAGTCAGAAACTTCCCATTGAAATTCAGACGGTTTTCTAGAAATTTCAGGAATTCTCCTCATACTTAATCTAACATAAAAACTTTTTACTTTATTTGTCAAAGAATCCCATACATGAGGAAATAATACTCTTACTGCAACTGCTGATTTATATGCATTTTTATAATGTTGTGGTCTTGCACATATGAACATATTACTGAATCTTGTTAATATATATTTTTTAACTTCATCGTCATATAAATTAATTAATGTAACATCATTTATTACATTTCGAAAATCTTGTGCAAATATTACTTCTAATTTATTTATCATATTTTTATTTATATGGTTTTTATAATTTTTGTCATGAATGCTTAGTTTTGCGATAGATGTATTTATTTTAATCAAATCTTTTGTTCTGATATCATCAAATTTATTAATAACAATTTTACAAAATTCTTTGAAAAATTCTTCCTTTCTTATTAATACTCTATTTAGGGACCACGCTACACACATTAACGGATGACTATAAAAACTGTCCAAATTATTTTGTACTGAAGTTAAAAATTTATCATAAAATTCTGTGTTTAAAAATTTACTTTTACCCATTCCATAAAAAATATAACCAATTTGTTGGGGAGTCAAAGTTTCGGAAATTTCTAAAATTCTTTCACTGTATCTTCTCCATAATTCATAATCATGTTTTCTTAGTGTAGCTGCTTTCTGAACACATGCAGAAATATATTGACCATCCATTAATTTTACATTGCTTGTTAAGCAAACATTCATAGGTAACCAATATTCTCGAACTCTTTGTTGGGCCCATGAGCGAAATCTTTTGTGCATACGTTTTGCCTTATATTTTATTCTACTTTCTCTTCTTATTGCATTAATAATTACTCTTTCCCTTGGTCTAATTAATCCCATTTTCTTTTCAGAATTTTAATTTATAAAAGTGTTATCTAATGTTAAATAAATTTGAAGTTCAAAAAAAAAAAAAAAAAAAAATCAGGAAATATAATATTAAATCCAGATACTAATACTCATACACCCCAAGGAATATATAAATAAAATAATTTCACATAAATTATATTTAATATAAAAAAAAAAAAAAAATTATATGACATTAGGGGAAATAATTGTATTTAGTATATATATACAATGTTATTACATTTTTTTTTTTTTTAACGTCATAGTATCCAATACTATTTTTATTTTAATAACATTCTACAAAATTATCATTTTATATTATTCTTATGCCATTATTTTTTTATTCGTAACTGTAGGTAGTGTTTGAAAAATTATGTTAAAAAGGCATTTTTCTTTTTTTTGTTTTATTTTATTTTTTTTTTTTTTTATATTTCTTTTACTCCATATTTACAAAGAATAAAAAGAATGAAACTATTTGATAATGAAATTATATTGTAAATTTCTCTATATATTTGTTTTTTTCTCTTTTTTTAAGTATAATTTTTCTTTAAATAATTGAAGGAGATTTTCACATAAACATAAAATATATTTTATTTGCATTAAATGTATGTTTTAAAAAAAATACTTGATATTATTAAATATCAGTTTACTTTGTAGTTTATTTTTTTTATTTTTGTTTTATTATTATCTTTAAATATTTTTGTGTATTTCATTAAAAATAGCAAATTTTTTTTTTTTCTTATCTTTTTTTTTTTTTTTTCTTTGCTTAAACATGTGAAATTAAGAGGTACTATAAAAAAATAACATTCTTTTAATACTTAAAAATAATTCAAAAACTTCAAAAATCTTAATTATTTTTTTTAGCTGTACATTTATTATTTTATTGCCTTATTTTATCTAATTGTATTATTTTTTTTTTAATAGTACATTTATATTTTATATAATATTATGATGAAATAAGAAATTACATTTACTCGTAGTAAATATGGAATATATTTTTAAAGTGTATATTTTTTAGTATTCATATTTTTTTTTAAAATAGCAAGTTAAAATTAAATCATTAAAATACTACGTTGCAATGAAATGATACTTCATCATGTAATGGTAAGCATAATAAAAATTATTTCAATAAAATTTCAATTTTTTATTTTATAAAAATCATAGAACTAGAAAAAAAGGAATCGCTTTTATAATATAAAATTAAAATTTCTATAATTTTATTATATTTTTTTTTAAATAAAAATTAATAAAAGTTTTTGTTTGATCTGTTTTTTTTTTTCTAAATATTAAAGGATTCCAAAAAATAATACCATTTTTAATTTTTTATGTATATTATAATTTACTATGTACGTTTACTTATTTTTTAATATTCTTTAGACATTTTTATTATTTTTTATTTTTTTTTTTTTTGTTTTTAACTATTATTTTTCCTTTATTATTTAGAAAAAGTTTATATCAAATAGTAAGGAATTAGTTTTTTTTTAAAGAGAGCAGAAAATTATTTTGTAAATATGGATACATTGGCATTTATTTATTTTTAGAGTATTAATTTATTAAAATTATTTTTTTATTTTCTAATACATTTAAAAAATATATATAAATACACATTTCCGTATCTTTTATTTTAATATAATTTTAAACTATTAAAAAGTGTTGCAAGTATATATAGTTAAGCGATAGATAAAAAATTATGTAAATGCGTATATTAAAAATATGTATTTATATTAACAATTATTTGATGAATTATTTTAGTGTTTTATGTAAAATTGGGAACTACTGAAAAAATAAAACATTATATTGCAACGAATATTCTTTATTTAAAAAATTTTAGGAAACAAAAAAAATTATTATCTTAAAAATAATAAAATGTTATTTTCTTTATTTCTAAGGAGCTGTTAAAAGAAAAAATATTATTTATGTTCTATTTTTTCTGAAAAGCATTTTTTTTAAAATCTTTATTTAATAGGAATAAATTTATTTTTTAATACAAAAAAAAAAATATTATTATTTTTTTTTTAGCTATATGCATGCTCATATATATACATATATATATTGTACACATTTATAATATTCATATGTCTAATTTTAGGTTATGCATAATCTTTTAAAATTTTATTCGGAGAATACGTATTCCTTTTTGAAAATACAAATTATTCTCGTTTATTTTGTAAAATTTATTTAAAAATAGTATAAAAAAAATAATATAATAAAATTGTAATTATAGTGCAATACCAGTCGTATTTTATTGTATTTTCAATAAAAGGATTAAATAAAAAAAAAAATACAAAATTATTAGAATTATTTTAAATAGGTAAAAATTTGAAGTGTTTTATTAAAAAGTATTTTGAAGCATGCAATTGTTTCCATATATTCACATGCTAACTTGAAAAAATTGTAATGTTCATTAAATATTTTATTTATGTACTTTTAAATTACGCCATATTGTGTCAATTTTTTTTTTTTTTCGTAACTTTAACAATTCCTTTCCTTTAATATCAAAAAAAAAAAATACTAAAATTATATAAATTTTAATTTTTCTAAATAATTTTAACTTTTATTTTTTTTGTAATATTTTAATCCAAAAAAAATTTGTCTTTTTTTTTTTTTTCGTTCAATTTGCGAATTTTATTTTATATTTCGTATTGTTTTCGATCTTTAAATATAATTTTGAATCTTTTATCTTTATAATTTTTTTTTTCTTTTTATTCGCAAAGTTATTATACACATTTCTGTATATTATAACTAATCGTTTGTATAATATTATATAAATTTCTTTTAGGTTTTTACCTTACTGTCTTTATATTATTAATTTGATTTAGTTCAATTTTTTTTAGTATTTTTACTTGTTTTAGTTCAATTTTTTATTTTGGTTTGTTTTAGTATAAGTTACTTTTATATCTTTTTATTTTCATTTGTTTTTAATTTTTCAATTTTTTTTGTTTTTTTTTGTTTTTTTTGTTTTTTTTGTTTTTTTTTGTTTTTTTGTTTTTTGTTCTTGGTTTCTTGTTTTTTTTTTCTTGTTTTTTTGTTATTTTGTTTCTTTGTATTTTTTTTTTCTATATTTTTTTTGTGATTCCATTTGTGTTTTTCATTTTTTTTTTTGTCTTTTGTCTTTTTGTTTTTTGTTTGTTTTTTGTTTGTTTTTTGTTTGTTTTTTGTTTTTCGTTTTTTGTTTGTTTTTTGTTTTTTGTTCTTTTATTATTTTGTTTTTTTGTATTTTTTTTTCTATATTTTTTTTTGAATATATTTTTGTTTTTTCTTTTTTTTTGTCTTTTTGTTTTCTGTTTGTTTTTTGTTTGTTTTTTGTTTGTTTTTTGTTTTTTGTTTTTTGTTATTTTCTTTTTTTGTATTTTTTGTTCTTTTGTTATTTTCTTTTTTTGTATTTTTTTTTTCTATATTTTTTTTTGAGTATATTTTTGCTTTTTCTTTTTTTTTTTGTCTTTTTGTTGTTTTGTTATTTTTCCCTTTTTTCTCATTTTTTTTGTCAAATATTTATTTTTTATTTTTTGTGTGACTATGTAGGTTTTGTCTTAATGCTTTTTCTTTATTACTATTTTTTTTTTAAACATTGTCTGCTTTTAAAATCATCCATTGTATACATTTAAAAAATTTTTGTATTTGGTTTTTTTTTTGTGAATTTTTTTCATTCATATATATCTATTTTTTGTTTGAATGTATTAAAAGCTATTTTTACATATAATTTTTTAGTTACATTTATTTGATTTTATTTTTATATTATATATTTTCTTTGTTTTTAGACTTTTATTATTGTATATATCTTACATATTAATATTCTTTGTTTTAGGTCTAATGAGTTTATAAATATATTATTTCTTTATTTGTTTTAGTATTTATATATATTTGACATTTTTTATGAAGGAATTTTGTTTACATTTGTTTATCTTAAAAATTTTAAAATTCTTAACAAATTATTTTTAAAATAATAAAATATAATTTTTACTATATAGTTGTGAGAACAAATATTATAGTAAGTGTACTTTTTTTTTCTTCTATATTAGTTATATATAAATTTTTAATTTTTATTTTTTCTTTTATTTGAATAAATTTTATTATTATTTTCCATATTTTTAAGCTAAAAAAAAGTACGAAGGTATATATATAAGAACCATACTTTATATTGTGTTTTTTTTTTTTTTTTTTTCTTTTTCATTAATTTATATTAATAAAAAAAAATAAAGTAAAATAGGAAATATCATTGAAAATACAGTTACTAGAATATCTATAGATTTTTTTAAAAATAATTTTAAGTTGTTTTTATAAATGTATTTAATATGAATATATAAATTTTGTAGATATAGACAGACAAAAAAAAAAAAAAAAAAAAAAAAAAAAAAAAAAAAAAA